GTCTGCCCCAATCACGGTACAGGGCCAAATGGTCGGCTGAATTTGCGCGCACGCAGCGCTAGGGGTTTGCGCTGCATACGCTCGCTGTCGCAGAGGGCGAAGACATTGAGGAGAGAGCAGACTAGCTAGCAGTAGACGTGACACCTTATCCTCGCGACCGGACTCCCGCCATGCCAATTTTGGCCTGGTTGGGATTGGGGCAGAATGTAGTGGCATCCGCCTTGCTCCCTTCTTTGCCTGAAACATCAAAGCATCTCGCTGTGCTTCTGTGCCGGCACGCGAGCAAGTATAAATGTAGCCTTGAAGTTATAGTCTGACATTTTTGTTTTGTTGTACTCATTTCAACACACATATTCATCTTACGAGGGAAGCTATAGGCGCCGTAAAACCTAATTGCCCGCGCCGTGCCTTGAACACCAGCGTAAGCGAGCGGTCGTCGCGAACGACTGTCGGCGTTCACTATATCTCAGCAGTGGCGTACCGAGGGGGGGGGGGGGCGCCCCCCCCCCCCGAGAATGGGTCGCTGTTTCAACAGTGGTGTGGATGAACAAATTTATTTATATGGCACAATAATATGATTAACAACAAACGGTGGGTATGAACGAGCGCCTCCCTTGCTCTCCCCCCGGGCTTTTATACCTCAAACGGGGCCATATCTTTATGGCCCCGTCAAGGTTGTCGCATAGTGACCTAAAAAGGCCACTATACGACAACAAAAATGTTTCAACAGTGGTGTGGATGAACAAATTTATTTATATGGCACAATAATATGATTAACAACAAACGGTGGGTATGAACGAGCGCCTCCCTTGCTCTCCCCCCGGGCTTTTATACCTCGAACGGGGCCATATCTTTATGGCCCCGCCAAGGTTGTCGCATAGTGACCTAAAAAAGGCCACTATACGACAGATGAACAAATTTATTTATATGGCACAATAATATGATTAACAACAAACGGTGGGTATGAACGAGCGCCTCCCTTGCTCTCCCCCCGGGCTTTTATACCTCAAACGGGGCCATATCTTTATGGCCCCGTCAAGGTTGTCGCATAGTGACCTAAAAAGGCCACTATACGACAACACTGCCCGGGGGGCAAGGGAGGGGTAACAAAAAAAAACCCTTTTTTTGGCTTGGCGTGGCTGGGTGGCTGGGTGACTAGCGGCTCGATGGCGTGGTAGTGGATGAGGCAGAGTGACGACTGGCTTGGCTGGCGTTACGGCGGCTTGGTGGCGTAGTGGTGTAGTGAATTGCAGCTTGACGACATGGCAGTGGAATGGATGGCGACTTTACGGCATGAAGGCTTGCTTTGGTAACAGATAGTGGTAAGTGGTGACGTTGGATTGAGGAGTGGAGCAGATAGGCGAATAAGGATGACGACTTGGTATCTTCATCGGGGTAAGCGGTAGTACGTCCGGCATAGTGTTCTTATCGGGGTCTCTAATTGGACGTTGATGAGGGGGCGTGCGCGTGAAGACGGGAACCACTTCGTTGTCGGAGATGAGTCGAGAATTTGAAGAGGTGTGTTGGAGCGGATAAAAATAAAGACAGCACTGTCTTCCTTGCCGATGTTTACGATCGGCAAGCTTGATAAATATCTTGCGGAACAATCGCAGTTTTTGAGTATTTTCGCTACCCTTTGCAGTGTAATTTTCCGATAGGAGATACGGTTTGCTGTAGGCAGCCCCAAATTGCATCGGCACTTCTTCATTTCGGGCGCTTTTGATTGAAATTTCGTCAAGTTTTACATCAGCACAGGTTTCGTGCGTACGAGTCTTTGTATTATAAGTATTGCATTGTTCATAATTATCGTTTGTGGGCGTGATGATTTTGCTTGCCTCGTCATTTTCTTTTACACCAGGTTCCGCGGGTATTTCGCGTTCTGACTCCTCGTCCGTTACTGGATTAATAACATCCAAGACATTTTCGCCTTGTTTCGTCTGTGAAGGCGATGGATTTGCGCACTTTTTTGCGTATATTCGAGCATACTTCATTTGTAGCTCTGCCATATGAATAAGTACTTCTGCTTTGGAAAGTATATCGCAAAATCCACTTTCTTCTTCCAGCGCTTCTACCTCACGCACTATCAACTGTTTCTGTTCATAGCAGTGTGCCATGTAAAAGTCTGATAGTTTATCTACTTTTGAGTGCAACATTTTTGCCCCGACTTTCACTTGCGAAAGGCATGTATTGAGAACATCCAATCTGCCGAAACATTCTTGCGATTGCTCCCTACTGCGATTCAGATCAGGATGAAAATCATTCAAGTAATTGAACTTGCTCAGTATATTCGCCAGTAATGTTGACAACGACAAAATCTCCTCTTTATAAAAGTTCAGAGACATTTTGTGTTGTTGAGGCTTCTTCGCCAGTAATAGAAATATCTGACGTTCAATAAACCTTAGGTATTCGCTTTATGCGCGAATGTGGGATGTGTCCCTAGGTTACATAACCAACTGTGCTGCCATCAAGCAAAGCACTTGCGTTGAAAATCCAAGTAGGATAGAACGTTATTTACAGCTACTTTTGCCGAGCAATAAATCAAAAATGATTACTACTTGAATATGGTTGGCACTAGGTTGCCCTAGTTCAATGCCAGGAGTCTTTTCTGGTCTTTTCGCTAGGTTTGCTAGCCTAGATACGTGCCAGAGGTTTTCCTGGCCTTTTTGCTAGGTTTGATTGCCTAGACTTTATTGCCAAGCTTTTCTTGGTCTTTCTGCTAGATTTATGCTCTAGACTTTCTTTGCCACGTTTTTCCTTGGTCTTTTGCTAGGTTTCTACCCTAGACTTTCTTTGCCAAGACTTCCTTGGTCTTTGCTAGGTTTATGCCCTAGACTTCTTTTGTGCCAGGAGTATCCTGGGTTTTTATGCTAGGTGTGGTCGCCTAGACTTTTGTGCCAAGGATTTCTTGGTCTTGATGCTAGGTGTGGTAGCCTAGACTTTTGTGCCAAGGATCTCCTGGTCTTGATGCTAGGTGTGGTAGCCTAGACTTTTGTGCCAAGGATCTCCTGGTCTTGATGCTAGGCGTGGTAGCCTAGACTTTCTTTGCCAAGGGTTTCTTGGACTTTTTGCTAGGTTTATGCCCTAGACTTTTGATCGGCGAAGGCTCTTCCCGGCCGATGCACCAAAAATGTTTCAACAGTGGTGTGGATGAACAAATTTATTTATATGGCACAATAATATGATTAACAACAAACGGTGGGTATGAACGAGCGCCTCCCTTGCTCTCCCCCCGGGCTTTTATACCTCAAACGGGGCCATATCTTTATGGCCCCGTCAAGGTTGTCGCATAGTGACCTAAAAAGGCCACTATACGACAACAGTCGCCAAATTTTTGAAAGTTACTTATATGGGTTACAAAAATGTGCAAGTGACTTGTTTATACTTGTAAATAATTAAAATAATTTTCAGGAATTTTTAAAAATTCAAATTAGCTTTGTAAAAAAAATTTTTTCGGGGGCGTGGCGTCAGCCACGCCCCCTTTTTCCAAGTTTTAGGGGTTGGGGACCCGCAAAAATTTTGAAAGCACCCTTAAAATTTTTTCGGAGTGCGTGGCTAACGCCACGCACCGTCATTTGAAAAAAAATTTTTGTCGCCCCCCCCCCCGAGCGGAAATCCTGGGTACGCCACTGAAATCTTTCTTTAGCATTCATGTTGTTCTCGTCAATGCAAGGTATATCTTGACGACAGCTCCCTTCACAAGTTTAAAAAAATATATGTGGAAAGGGTGCGCGCTCATTGTCGCTCGCAAGAAACCTGTAGCGCTTCGGGACCAAACGTTCCTAGCCGCGCCGCGCCTTGGTGTTCAAAGCGACGCATGGGAAATTGGATTTTACGGGGCCTGTACCTAATTTAGCTCGCGATTTCGGAATAAGACACATATATTTGAAATCAGCCTGGAACGCTGATGCCAAAAATGCTGTTCCCAGGTGCCGCGCATCATTCGGAACGGAGTCACGAGGACCTCCTTCCGTATGACTCCTCCACCGGCAAGTCTAGGGGAAACTCGACAATGACCAATAGAGGTTGTGTGGTAAGGTGGTAAGTGTCTCGCTCTGTGGAGGGTCCGAGGTTCGACTCCAGTTGGACGTCCTTCCTTTTGCAAGCCCTCGAAAATGTTTATTAGTCAGCCTAAGGCCCCGGACAAACTTCAAGCGACTTAATCGCCGCGATCTAATCGCCAAGATTTCCATTTTCATTTCACATTCAAAAATTTCGACCTGGAAAAGTATCACAACCGAATGCAAGTTGATCGGCATGGAATGATGTTGTAACAGTTGTCTCGTCGCGACTCAGTCGCGACGATCAAATCGCGTGAAGTCTGCTCGGGGCCTAAAAGTGAATTCATCGTCAGACTGGGGCGTACCAGTTTCACCATGAAAAATTTACATGAATTTCTCACATGCTGCCCCGTTTTTTGCCCCATCTTCTTCATCCTCCTCCATCACCTCATCCTCTTCTAATTCTACGTCCATACTGTCTGTGGTAGCTTCACGTAGGATGTACGTGAAGCAACTAATCACTTTCTGCTCCTTCCTCAACGGCTCTCTTGTAATGTCGCAAGAGCAAAAGGTCTTTCGCAGATAAGTAACGATCAGCTCGGGCAAAACATCTTCGATTTGTGATAACCCCACTTACCACAGATGCACGTAGGCATCTGTGACTACTTGTGGATCATGTTTGGATTTGTGGACTACCTTTGCAGAACGGTAGACGTCCAATACGACTCGAACCCCGGACCCTTAGCGTACAAGGCTAGACGCTTACCACTTTACCACAAGACCCCCTAGACTTGCCGGTGGAGGAGTCATACGGAAGGAGGTCCTCGTAACTCCGTTCCGAGTAATGCGCGGCACCTGGGAACAGCATAGTCGGCATCAGCGTTCCGGGCTGATTCCAAGTATATGTGTCTTATTCCGAAAGCGCGAGCTAAGTTAGGTAGCTTCCCTCGTTTGCATTCTGCTTTCTTTTGAACTTGTTCATATTGTACAATCATATTCTAGATCGTCGCGAGAAAGCTCGCGCACGTACAGGAGGTGCCGGGTTAGGACGAGGCGGAGCAGGCTCTACTCAAGTTCCGGATCCTTCCGATCCTTCCGCTATGCAAGCGTACTTTCTACAGGAAGTCCAACTTGGTGAAGAATTTATGGCTAGTGGTAAGGCCTCAGTTTATTTTTCAAATCTTGTCAGCTGGCCAAAACTTGTAACACTTTTCCCAAAACTTCTAACACATTTTCTAACATGGGAAGAATGCGTGTCGATTGAGCGGGAAGATGCTCCCGTCGTGTTGGGGCGGACTCATGATAGCTTTAAGCGTTGCGGTCTTTGATAACGAGATAGTACGAAAAGTAACGCTTCAACGTGGAGGTTTAACATTCAAGTTATCAGAAGTCCGCAACCGCCTCTATAGGAATCTGGGAGACAAAACAGGTTTGACAGTCGTTGCAACTTTCAACTACGGTATCCCGCGGTCATTTACAGAGTATTCGTGGCGGGACCTTGTGTGTTTCAGCCAATTAGAGGTTGCTCTAGCAGCAGTGCATTCTTGCATTCAAGGATGCTGATTCTGAAGTTTCCAAAGCTATCCACCTATGCGAAATGGTGTTTTTAAGCATCGCCGCCTAGTAATACAGGTTTTCTACTAACTAATGAAGGAACCTTCGCTGCTTTTTAATGACTCGCGGATCCCAAGGAAATGGACTAGCATCCTATGCAGACGACTTGCGATGTTCAGGATGGTATTAGTGAGAGGTGGGAAGAGGAAATAACTGTGAAACGGAGGGCAGTGATCCCCATTACCTTAATGAGTACAATATCTTGGGATCATTATTTGGATAAGGTCCAATGCTGCTGCGTAGTAATACCAGGCTGCTATGAGTCCACAACTTTCACTTGGGTTTCTGAGGCTTATATGGGTCTATCAGAGGTTTATTTTGCTTTGTTCTTATGCCGAGTACATCGCATCTGGAGTAATTGCGTTTCTACCGTTAGTACCTAAACTTTTGAGTCTTGATATGGGCCCAGAATTGAATTCCGAATAGAGGATATACCTCATGCTATCCTTGCAGCGGTGGGCTGTGCCTTGCATCACGCAGAAAAAGCGCATATCAAGTCAACGGTTGATTTGTGTTACAATATATCTTTTGCTTTATTACAAACTGCATCAGGAGTCAAAGTACATATGTCATCTTGTACATCTAGAAGTTATATAATTTCTCGAAATGTGCTATTTCTTGACAACCTTGTTCCTGATCTTTTCTCCCACGAGTCACCCGTCAATTCTGCTCAATCTTTCCGTCGTGTACGTTATATTGTACCACTGAGTATCTTTATTAATCACAATGCGCTTTCTCAAATCCTTATCAGCGATTTTGTTCCTCTACTAGTACATGTGTACTATTCTGTATAATATGTATAACACTTCTTCATTCAAAGCTAGCTAAATATACGTTTAGCATTCCCTAATCGTGGTGCATACAATACAGGGCATCAGTAGTATACTTTGGACCGAATCGAATGATTATTCGATTATTCGAATAAATCATTCAAATGCGAATGATTCGAAAATTCGAATATTCGAAAATCTGAGATTTCGAATAATATTCGACAGTCGATTCGAAAATTTTCATTTTCGAATATTATTCGAAAGTTGAATATTCGAAATTCTCAACTTTCGAATATTATTCGATAGTCGAATATTCGATAGTCATTAATTCGATCATTCGATGTCCATGGAATATTCGAATATTCGATGAGCACCGAATATTCGAAAATTCGATAAGAAAATTGACTATTCTAAAATTCGAAGCATCGAATATTCGGAAATTCGATATCCACAACATATACGGGGTGTCCCAAGGGTATGTACAAAGTGTTTAATTGCTAATACCTCTCACGAAGTCTTTTGCCAACCTTTAAGTAACATCCTGTAGGGATGGCTTCAGCTTACAAATAGGAAAGCAAATCACCTATGTTTTTCTTGTTGTGTTATCACGGTATGAACTTAGCATAAAGAGCAACTGCGAAATGAGACATCCAAAAGAGTTTCCCAACAAAAAGAGATTTCAAATCTATGTAGCAGGATTTTACGTATGTTTAACTACGCACGCGCTTTCAAGCCTTTTAAATGTGCATTCTCTTTTTTGAAAAGCGTTGGAAAACATCTGTTATGATGTACCTGGCATAATTTGCAAAAGGCGTAACGGTTGAGCGCAAATTCTTTATATAGTGAGTGCCTTTAGAAGCCTAGTGTAAGATCGGCCTTTTTGTTTCTCATTCTTGGGCAAACTGCTCTTGATCTCAAAACCCTCCTCAGTGTTCCTACGGTAATTTACAACAGTGAAAAGCATCGATACATCGCTTCAAACTGTAAGTCTAGGTTGATGTCAGCCCACAGATTCACATACTGTTGGGACCCCTGCATGTCAGTCCACAACTCTCAATGAGGATAAATAATCTTCTTTGATTTTTGAAATCTTTACAACTGTCACGTACGCTTTTAGGTTCTTAAAGGCAGCGTCCCAAAAGGGGTCCGAGAATTTGTGGCGATGTTAAATTGGACCCCTACCTAAGCGGTGACGAAGTTCGGTGCGAAAAAGAGGTTCTGGTAAACTTGAAAATTGCTCTTAAAGTGGCCCGTCTTACGGCAGGCCCGAATGCCGCCCGTACAGCTAATTCGAACTGCAAGGCCAGAGAACGCATAGCACACACAGTCATGAGTGCAGGGTCCCGCAACGACTCTGCGTCTCTACCCTGCATGCATCTCGACTCACGAGCCTACCGCAAGATCCGGGCCACTTACGGGCCAATTTCAGGCCTGGTAGCCCCCTTTTTCGCTCCGAAAATCAGTCATCGCTTAGGTGGGGGGACTACTTTAACATCGCTACAATCGGCACCCATCTTCTTGTCGGGGCTGCAACTGAACCGTTTTTTTTTCGTTGTAAATTGAAACATAAAAAAATGTCTATACTTGAAAAAATTTATTCTGAGATGTTTTGGTCTCTCACAGGTAGTCTCACTGAATAATTTATTCGCATAGTATTCGAAAATCGAATGATATTCGAAATCGAGTATTATTCGAGAACCGAATAATATTCGAAATTCGAATATCGAATGGTATTCGATATTCGAATATTATTCGATTCGAAAACTTCCATTTTCGAATAATATTCGATAGTCGAATATTCGAAAATTTCGATTTTCGAATAATATTCGATAGTCGAATATTCGAAGTTTTCAATTTTCGAATAATATTCGATAGTCGAATATTCGAGAATTTCGATTTTCGAATATTATTCGATATTCGAATATTCGAAAAAAATTCGAATTTCCCAAAGTATAATCAGTAGATTCCAACAATTTCAACACAACTTGAGACATTAGCTGCCGAAATCGAATCTTTGAACTTGAGATGTCATTTTAGAAACCTCAGAGTCCACGATAATTCCTCATTATAGAAAGCGAGTAGGAAAAGGAGAATGAGTGGCATGGTGTGCAGCGCCATATTTTGAAATTGGATTAACACACAGATGGTCCCGCCACGAATACCCTGTAAATGGCCTGTAGTTGAAAATTGCAATGAATGCCGAATTTGTTCTGTATTTGGGAGTCCACCATATCACTAGAGGCAAGCTGATTTCAGTCTGCCTCCTTATTCAGAAAAATTCACGAGCGTTTGGATGTGTAAAACTGGGATTTCAGTAAATAAGAATAATGTGCAGCAAAGATGTGCCTGAAAGAAGCGCTATGATAATTACGACCGACTTCATTGTCAACAAAAAGCAGACCAAAAATCCGAGTATTTTTGACAGTTTTTTTTTTTGAAAATATCGATGAACACAAGGTGAATCCAGAGGCCGTATTCATCATTAAACCTGAGGTAAGTATACCTTGAGGTAAATTTTATCTCAAGGTAAATTCTACCTTGAGCGATTCGTATTCATCAACGTACCTTGAGGTAAATCCTACCTTTGCCAGCTTGATATACACTGACGTTTATTTAGAGCACGCTATGACGTCTTAACGGTGCATAAAGTTTTTTATTGCCAATAGAACTTTTGCTGGGACAAAATTCATTGCTAATTGTGTCCTTCGGGCCCGAGATGACATGTTTTGACAAGGAGACGGTTCGAAGTACCCTTACATTCTTGAACACGATAAAATGAGAATGTCTCAGGTCTCAAAAGATCAAAGGGAATTTGTGGCCATTTTCTTTGTTCAAACCCCATATTTTGACAAAACATGAATTTGCACCTCATTTTCGAAACTTATAAGCGGAGGATAGCAAGTTGCAGTGGCCTCGAAGAAATATGTACAGGGTGTCGCAAAGTCTTTCGGGGAACGGTCAGGAGTCACGGTCGGCGCGAATTTTTCGCGAAGCGATGCCGCAAGCGTTGTCAGCAAAACAGAAGCCAGCACTCCTGGCGCAGTCTTACTTATGACACGAGCCATGTATCTGCCCCCACCCCCCACCCCCCTAGACTGGCGCCGTGCCACTTTGGCACCGGGCAGTTTTGCGGGGTACAAAATCTAGACGCGACGTTCGCGGCGAAGCGGCGCGGCGCGCGGCGTGACTCCTGACATGGAGCCAAGTCTTTCAGCCTAACTTTGCAACAGTGTAATTTTGTAGAATCCTTTGCATTCGAACCAAAGTTTGCAAGTGAATTTGTCGTAAAGATGACATCATTTCAAAAAGGTATTTGCTTCGTGCACAAAACACCGGTTTCTCTTTATTGTAGAATTGCATTAGGTCGTTTCATAAGTTCGTCGACTTTTTATTTTTGTCGCCGTTTTTCGATGAAGCTGTTGGTTTACGGCAAGGTACCTATACCATTGAAAAGAGAAAATTTTGCTCTACAAGATGTTGTTCGTTTTTGGAGCAAACTTGAATCTTTACGACTTATCAAAGCAAAGTTTTTTGAGAGGCAAAAATTGGCGATTTTGGCAACTGCACTTTCCGCATTTGGTCCGTATTCCGCAAGATGTTTCTGTGATAGGAAGGCGGGATGGATAGTAGCAAGCAAGACTGAAACACTGATAAATTTGCAGCATGCCAATATGCATAGGACCGTTTGAACAAAGTCCCAATAGTTGTTGTCCTTGACTACTGCCGCTTGAGTTTGGCGCGTTGTTCAGCGACACAATGTGACGGTTCTCC